CCCAAGTTTGAGTGAGAAGGGGGTGGAGAAATATCCTGGCTTTTCCTTCTGACAGCTTTGCAGCTTCCCTGGTACCTCTGAATAGCATAGCTGAGCCACAGCCAGCTGATTTTAATTAGTCAACGAATACATTGCATCCTATTGTAATCATCCCCTGTCCAGATATAACAGAGATTGGAAAGGACAAGGAATGCCCTGGAGGGCAAGGCCCAGGCATTTATAGCCAGGATGAAAATGCTATCAGTCTTAGACTAAATGCCTTAAATTCGAGGTGAAGCAATGGAAAGGTAGTTCAGAGACTGAAATAGATATTCTCTCCTTTCTTAAGTAATTCCCAGTCTTCGAAGTCCCCAGGTCCAGTAAATTGGTCTTGATAGTTATTTCTCTAAGTCTCTTATCTGTGACATAATAAGGCTCTTTTCACCTTGCACAAGATTTATAACCTGGAAAACCAGCTATGTATTGATGATCTTGACTTCTTTATCTCATAGGTGTAGGAGAATACAAGCACTGAAGCAGTGTAAAAGTACAATACAGTAAAAGCAGAATTTACAGCCAAGGTCTTACGACTTTCTCTAATACTGTGGTTTATTGAAGAGCAACTGCTGTTTATCTGCAAATGAATGCTACAGCTTAAACTTAATTGTTGCTTAGAAATCGCATATATTTTAATCTATGAAATTACAGCACGTAAAAGACCTGATAGAGATGAAGCTCATTAAAGCTGGGTTCTTTAAAGGGAACATTTGACCATTCTTTGCCTGTCTAAGCACTGGGCACTGTTGGCCACCATGGATCTACTGGGACTCAATATACAGCAGTAGCCAGAGAGGTGCTTCAGTTGAAGAAGGGATTTGCTGAGATTGCTTTTAAGTCATCCTCTTTTATGAAAATTATATATTGTTTTCTATATATGTGCATAGAATTGGTCTTGATCCTAGTTTCCAGTTTTTGTTCTCTAAGTAACTATTACTCCCTTCAGTCATGTGAGCTAATTCTGTGTGGACCTTCTTTAAAGTATTCATCATTGTTCTGCTTGATGATGGAATGTCCACTTCTTACAAGGTGCTTATTACTCAGGTTGTTTTAATTACTATGGTTTCACTGAATATTCTTCAACTGTAGCAAATTACATTGATTTTTTAATGTTGAGCCAACTTTGCATTCCTGGGATAAAGCCCATTTGGTCATAAAATAACACTTTTTTTATATCTTTCTGGATTTGGTGTGCTAATATTTTGTTGAGGATGTTTGTATTTATGTTAATGAAATGCATTGCTGTATAGTTGTTTTGTCCTATAAAGTCTTTATCAGATTTGTATAAAAGGACTGCTACATCAGATTTGTATAAAAGGACTGCTACACTCTGCGTGGGCTCCTCCTTTCTATGCCGTTGTCAGAAAGTTTTTCCTGGGCAGAGAGCTATTCTGATATATGAACGGCTGTTACTCTCTTTCAGAAGTATAGAGGCTCTTGTTATGTATTTACTATGGCGGATTTATTACTTGGATTGTATTAATTTATTTATTCAATTAATGTAAACTTACCAGTCAAGGACTAATTATATGCTACAGCAATAGAAAATATTAAAATAGGGTGAGAGGTAAAAGAGATGTGATATTTGACCTCATGTGGTCTATATATACTTTAGACCTGACTTGTAACATTAAAAATAAACCTTATGTTTTACTGGATTTATTTGAATTTATACATTAGTTTGGGGAGGATACCTTTGCAGTATTTCTTCTCCCATTCTGCAGAGGTAATTTCAAATCACCTTTCTCTTTTTGAAAAAGGCTTTATAAATTTTATCTGTCTCTTTTCTTAAATGTAGAACTTGCATATTTATTCAGTTAATCCTAGATATTTTATGTGATGGGCTTTGTTGCTATTGTCAATATGCTGTTTTTTTCCCCATTACACACTGGTGGTTATTGCTAGTGTAAAGGAAAGCTACTTCTTTTGCTGTGAATCATTTACTGATCTTTCTATGAAATCCTAATAGTTCTTTCTTTGGGACTTGCCAGGTAGAGCTTATTGGATCTTTATTTCCATGAAATATGCTCTGAAAAATACTGGTTATTGCTGTGAATTAATACGGTGTCTGTGTTTATCTAATGTGAGCAGGCTGTATATGCATTTTCCCTGCAGGGATTGATATTCAGTGTAGTGTAGCCATAGGGGATTTAAACCTCTCTTGGAAAGATCATCTACTTCCTGCTTAGAGTTAGGGTTGAAAATAGAATTCCCATCCATGCAGCATCATATCCTATCCTGTGAAAGACCAGTAAACATCCCCCTGGCGATAGTCGCTTACTTAAGGACAGGCCTGCTTAACCATGTAAAGCTACAGGGTGGTCAGGTTAGATAATTTTCATCTGGCTGTGAGACTAAGAGAAGAATCCACATTTCACCATAAAATATATATATTTTGTATGACTGCCTGAGAACTCAAGCTAGCTTTTAATAACATGTGTTTTAAATTGTGAAATATTGACATAAATATCATGTCCATCTCTCATATTTTTTCAAACAATAATATAGTTGAAGTCATCAGCAATTAGATGAAAAATCATTATTGTGTAGTATTCCATCACTTCAAGGCATTGTCTTTTTTATTTCTAAAGTATAATTTCAATATTACATTCTTTATTTAAGGCTCTTCATGACACTGTTACCATCACCCAGATTTTATTTATTTAAAATAGTTTCTAATATGTTTTGTTGTTGATACTTACTGAATTTTTCAGCCTGATAGCATTAAAATACTTTAAAATCAAATTTAGGAAAATATACACACATACACACACAAACATCATAGGGGACTTCTATTCTCTGGGAATATGTGAACACTTTTTGAAGCTGACTTGGAGAAAATGACTTTTCTTATTGTCTCGATTGTTTTAGATGATAAGAGAAAAGAGATGTTGATTTGCTAATCTAAGTAGTAAACCAGCTATGGTTTACAAAATACTCCAAAGAATTGATAAATGATGACTCCTCTTTTCTTTTTTTTAAACATTTTTTTATTGAGTTATAGTCATTTTACAGTGTTGTGTCAAATTCCAGTGTAGACACAATTTTTCAGTTATACATGAACATACATATATTTATTGTCACTTTTTTTTTGCTGTGAGCTACCACAAGATCTTGTATATATTTCCCTGTGCTATACAGTATAATCTTGTGTATCTATTCTACATATGCCTGTCAGTATCTACAAATTTTGAACTCCCAGTCTATACCTTCCCACTCCACTCCTCC